GATCTTAATTGGACGAAGGTATAAGATAATATTTCTTTTATAAATATGTTTCAACAACTGTTAACTATAACATCTGTTCGCTTCAATTTCGAACAATACATTCTTTTAATTTATTTTATATATATATAATATGTATAATTATATTATATTATATATTATATATATATATATATATATATATATATATATATATATATTATATAATAATAATAATAATATTAATATTATATATAATTAATTATATTGTTATTATATTAATATAATATTATATAATAATATATATATATTTATATATATATTTTACTTATATTATATTTAATTATTAATTTATTTACGTATAATCACGTATTGAAGACCTACACTCCTGCACAAGGAAAAAAGAGAACAGGTCAAAACTTTTTGAAAGAAAATTAAATAATTTATAGTAGTCGATAATGATCGTTCGTTAATAATGATCGATAGAAATCGATTAGTACGAGGAGCATTTGTCGTGGCGCATTCCTCGAAACAGACGTAGATGCACTTTTTGCTGGGCGTTGTTCTTCCAGCATAGCTTAAAAAGCTCGTATGTGTAATTAATTAGGGTTATTTTCTTCTGGAAGATGTCTTATTTCATTTAAAAACATCGTATTACAAAAAAAAATGATCCAGACGAAAGTTGTGCATTTGTTTTATATAGAATAATAAAATAATATTATATAGAATAACAACATAGAATATATAAGAATAATAATAGAATTATATAAGAATAATATAGAATAATATTATATTATATAGAATAATAAAAAATATTAGTTTGCCATAAAAAAAAATAACAAAATGGCCTTGAAATAACATTGAAAACGCCGACGCATTAAAAAAATAGCAATACCATTTGATTCTCTATTCGATATACTGAAGGGCATGTGCCAGTTCGTTTTTTTTTAAATCACGTGTCTACGAGATTTTTTACAATCTCAACTTAAGTTGGATACGTGTTATTCGTGCTTCGGTTTCTTACTTAGTATTCCGACACCTTCGGTCCACTACAAATTTAACCCTTTGCACTCGAGTGGTGACTCAGAGGCACCGCTAAAATTTGTTACATCAGCTTTTAAGATAATTTTGATATTAACAGAGTTTACATTTAAAAAATCGTTAAGAGTGTAGCCGTTGTGCGGGTCCCCAAGAGGCAATTTCATATGCATAAAATGCATTTTGCCATATAAAATAGAAACACTGGAAGATATAAAAATAATTTTATATTTACAGTTAAAATAGCTTCGAGTGCAAAGGGTTAAAATTCGAACAACGAACGTGGAATGTTTGAAGATCTTATAATAACGCAAATTTTGAGTAATTTCAAGGAGTTCCAGGAAACAAAAGGTAAATATCGATTCGTTTCTTTGATAAGAGCTCTGATAAGTTGAAAATGAGATCACAATGGATTACATTTGTTTCATTATCTATTTATTCACAAATTTATAATATTTCATATTGATTCTATGTGTCCGATTTTGTTTAATACCATCCGCAACGAGAAAGAATGCGCGAGCATAGCAAGACACCACAACAATCGTTGTCCCATGTACACTGCATGAACACGAAAAAAGTCGGTAAAATATGTAAAACAATTGCAAATATAATACACTTACCTTTTTAAAAAATCCTTGACAATTACTTTCCGAATTTTCTAATATATTATGTCGCATAACGTCTTCGCGACTTATTATCGAAGCCATGGCAAAGCTGCCAATAAAAATGATTGCTAGAAAAACTATTAACTTCTTCATTGCTGTTAAGCGATGTTTGCTTAGATGTTCTTACTGAAAAGAAA